AAGACTTGATAGCAGGTCCAGGTGAACTCTGGTTCAAGCCAAGCCACGATGGAGCCAACCCAGCTTGGCAGCAATAAGAGTCGGGCAAAGATTATCTTCCTGTTAATTGGCTGGTGCAGAGAGGTCCAACAGGAGCGAGCAACGGCATAGGGTCTGACACTCATCGCACACGCACTGTTCTGTCTCGGCCAGTGACGGCACCTCCGTCCGTCGCTGAAAAATACCTGCAGTCTAAAGTGAACGGGCGTTAGAGAAGCAGCATGATGCGCACGAGGGATCAAACCTGGGCCGGGAGTGGACCAGGGGTTCACAGAGGTCCGACCACCATGAGATTAATTTCCGATGTGCTGTTCCTAGCCTTTCCTAACACGATCGGACCAAGAAAAGAAACAGAAAAAAAATTCAAAATGAAAAAAGAAATGACAAGCCGGGACAAGATAGACAAGGCCAGACAAGCAACAGAATACGAGATAATTCTCATGGTTGACTCGAAAGGGTCAAACAGCCAAGGCAGCTTGGGGCACGTGGTGCCAAGAAAGCTTGGCCTCTCTCCGGCCGGCATTGCAGCACGTGCCCCCATCGCGCCCTCTCATTCCCCGGTTGCGATACACACCATCTGCATCATCCCGGTTGACTCGAGGGGTTGCTGCTGTCCAATCCCCTTTGCATCCCGGACCATGCCGACGGCTCTGTCCGTCGTGAGGTTACACCGACCATGCTTCTGCACTTCTGGAAAATTACTCACTTTTTGTCGCGAGTCAGATACACAGGCAGGACACATTCCAGCTTAGCCTCTGCATGACGTTAACCCACCTTTGGGTCCAGCTTAAAAGATATCATGGCTTGAGTTCACCCGACGACCTACAGTTTCGGTTTGCGCCGTCAACTCACACCTTTAATAGGCCATTTGAATCATCACCAACATGGCACTAGTACTAGTCTGGTCGGACGGGGCCTGGCTGCCCCCACCCATGCACACCCACTTCCCCCGAATTGACCCATCGACCCGCTCAGGGGACTAAGTACAATTGTATGCAGTCCTCCGTACACCCTCTTTTTTGCCTTCAGCTAGACATGGTAGTCGTGCTAGCGTCCAGCTGCAGTGGCCTGTTCGACTCGCTTAAGGCTGTCTGTCGCGTGCGATGATGACTACGCGACACCCTCTCGCCAACCACGTGCAGCGATACCACGAATCCCCCTGGCCAACCACAACCGCCCTCTGCAGAACGTGCTGGTGCTATTCCTTCGAGATGCATAGATCGGTCGCTGCGCCGGTTAGCTGACAGGCTGACACCTCGAGACACGCCTGCATGCGATTCTCATTCCCCTTCTTGATACCACTTAAAAGGCCAGGGATCGCCGCTCGTCTTTGCTGACTCTGCTTGCCATCTGCATCTCAAGTTCAGACCATCCTTATCTTTCTTGCAAGTCCTCTTCATCCCCCGAGGAAATCACTGCAGATATGGCGGACTTTGGCCCTCGTGCTCCTCACGGGCCCGACATGAACGGCAAGCAGGATTTCGCCGAGATGCATCCCAATGAGAAGGAGGGTTTCGATCGCCTCCTCCGTCCCGATGACAGCTACACGGCCCAGGGTGTCTACTGGGCCGACCTTCCCATTGGTCAGCGTATCAAGTTCGTCACCTCGGTCGACAACAAGGAGCGTAGTCGTCAATGGTCGGCTCTCTGGGCTGAGATCAAGAGGGATCCCCTCTCCCCCATGATGGGCTACTTCCGCAACACCATCATCCCAGGTGCTGGTATTGGTTTGGAAGGGTATGGTTACCCCATATCAATCAATCTGCATTAGTTCTTTCTAACGCGCGTGCCACAGTTACGTTCTCCTGTCCATCGGAAACATCTCCACCCTCTTCCAGCATTCTTTTTCGACTTGCTGGGATAGTTACGAAATTTGTAACAAGCAGTGGATAAACGCTATTACCTACCTCGAAATCGTCGGTATAATCATCGGTCAGGTCCTCGTTGGTGTCATTGGTGATTGGGTGGGTCGTCGTTGGGGTTTGCTGCAGGATGCCTGGATCATGTTCTTGGGCCTGGTCATGTTGACATGCGCCTGGGGTGTCACACAAAACGGCTGGGTCATCTGCTATGCTTGGTCCCTCTTCATCTACGGCATCGGTGTTGGTAAGTTATAACTTTCCGCTTTACATTGGCGACACCAAAGCCTCCTTCCGAAAACGGATTAGCTAACTCTTCTTAGGTGGTGAGTACCCGATGACTGCCACCAGTGGTATGGAGAACGCGGTTGGTTCCGGCAAGCTCTCTACTCGGGAGGATCGTCTTCACCGTGGCTCCAAGGTCGTTGGTGTTTTCTCCATGCAGGGTTGGGGTCAGGTCCTGAACCAAGCTATCCTCATGATCTTGCTTCTTATCTTCAACGCTGGTAGCGGAGAGGAGCCTATCAGCCAAACCAACACCCAATGGACCTACCGTATCTCCTTTGTCATCCCAATGGTTGGCACCTTCTGGCTCATCTACTACCGTGCCTACCACATGAAGGCTGCTAGTAAGCAGCTTGCGGCCACCAAGAAGAAGAACTCAGTCACTGGCTACGACACTGAATCACTCCGCCTCACTTTTAAGTACTTTACCCCCCGTGTCTTGGCCACTGCCGGTGGATGGTTCGCCAACGACGTTTTCTTCTACGGTGCCAAGCTCTTCTCCAGTGATTTTATCAAAGTCATCAGTCCCAACACCAAGTCCATCTTCGTTACCTGGCAGTGGAGCTTCATCAACTGCGTTGTCACCCTGATGGGCTACTATGCTGCCATTATGTTCGTGGACAACAAGCTCTATGGCCGCAAGTGGATGCAGATCATGGGATTCTTGCTCTGCTTCATCGTGTATGTGGTGCCTGCCTTCCACTACCACTACTATACCGAAGCCGCCCATATCCACTCCTTCCAAGCCATGTACTTCTTGGGCAGTTTCTTCAACCAGTTCGGCCCCAACTGCATCACCTTCCTGGTGGCGGGTGAAGTCTTCCCCACCCCCATTCGTGCCACCGCTCACGGTATCTCCGCTGCCTGCGGTAAGCTGGGAGCCTTGTTGGCTGCTATCCTCTTCAACTACATCGACACCCAGACCAAGTTCTACTTTGTGCCCTGGTGGGGTATCTTCGGCATGTTCCTGACTTACTTCTTCCTCCCGGACACCACTGGTCTGGATCTCAAGGAGCAGGAGCGCCGCTGGAGATTCATTCGCGAGGGTCGCGAGAATGAGTACCACGGTGTTGCCATCCACCCCAAGCACCTGTCCTTGTGGGAGCGCTTCCGTGGTGTTGGCAAGTACTATGACCCCGAGCTGGACTACCAGCAGCGCGTCGAGGAGTACCGCTCTGAGTGGGAGGCCATCATGGCTCGCCGCAGCGAGGAGACCAAGACTAGCGATGATGTCGACTTGGCTTTCGTCGAGGATGACCTCTTGGAGGGTTCCGTTCACAATTACTTCCACCGCACCAGCTCTTTCACCAAGAGCCAGAGCGTCGAGAAGGTCACTGAGGCCGAGCCCTCGGAGTAAAAAGGTCATCGCAGCATCTAATTTTGCGCCATGCCCTCGCAGGCATGGAATGGATATACCCACACATACCCCCTTACATATACCCGTCGCTCATGCGACTCTACAGTCCCCGCTGGATAGAGAGTTCTTCTAGCTTACTATATACTACCTAATTCCCTGTTTATATACATTCGATGTCTGGACTGTTGAACGAAGCGCTGAGACATGAACTCACTTATATACTTTTCTTTATTGTACTTAATTCGATGCAACTCGGCTCTATCCTGTTGTACCTAAAATAGCTGCTATTTTCTCATGAAATGTATCCTCTTTGTATAACTGTAAGCTTACAAATTAGAGTTGCCGCCAGTAGTGATATTGCAGCAGAGGCTATAAGATCCTTGCACCCTATCTTGGACATTCGCCTTAATTCAACCCCAACATCTACCCTCTAACTGGGAAATTCATCTCTCCCCAAACTCCCCCAGCTTACCCCGTAAACCCCAAATAAAATTCCGTACCTAACTCAAGCCAAGCATCGAGACAAGCTCATCCCCGATCTGAAGCCGCACGTGGCGCAAACTTACTCCCATGCCAATGCTTGGCTCCTTGCATCCACAATTCTTGGTACAGCTTGGCTGGATGGAACCGAAATCTTGGCCAGATGGCGGGGAATAGAGTTTGTGGAGTATTCAAGCTTTCGCATTTGGACTTGGCTGGCGGGATTCTGGGATGTAGTGGACTGCTGAGGTCCTGTTGTGCCTGCTTTGAGTGGAGGTGCTTGGTGTGTAGGCGATGGAAGGAGGATGGGTAGTATTGGTGATGAGATGGTGGGTCGATGTTATCGGCATCAAGCTCAGTATAAGAGAGTACAAATTGGTATTTGCACACAACTATTGCCTTGGTAATATCTACGAGGTCACCGAAGATCTCATGGCCGAATAATGGCTTCTCTAGGGGGCTCGGGACTCGCAGCTGGAAACGTCCTTGATGCCTGGGGCATCAAGGCCTCGGGCACTAAGCCTAATATAGAACCCATTCATCTGGTACCAGTTTCCTTTTTGGGATGATGGCCAGTCACTCCAGGTTCCATCGTAGAGGTGTTGGTTGGGAATCCAAGTTCAATGTGAATGTGGTGTAGGTATTTGTATTAAAAATGTCAAATCAGATTCTCCTTGTACCCTTCACCCCTATGGTGAATTCACAATGGCCATATCACTGTGACGGCCATGTCGGTCAGGGATATGACTGCTCGCCTACGTTCACCAACATGTCGACAGATAGCATTTGAAATCACAATCATCCAGGATGCGCATTCAATAAGATGGAAAGTTCTCTCCTTCTATTTAATCTCTCCTCTTACCGCCTTCTCTACACTTCTCTTCCGTCGCTCCTCCATCCCAATCCAGTATTCCCGAGGCCTGTGGTTTTCACTTCGAATCGCACGGACCACTTTATCTAGTTACAGTGTTTACGCTACAATGCAGCAATACAACGAGTCTAACATGGAAGACTATGATGAATCCGTGAATGTGAGTTCTAGTCATGGACCAGTTCTCTCTACTATATATTCCAAGTCTGCTAACACAACTGACATTGAGCAGTCATCTAGTGATTCATCTTCTATAGCACAGGATTCTGAGTTCCAGGAAGCCGTTGTGGAACACCAAATGACCCTACTCGGATCCGAAACCGACGATGATGATGATCATGGCAGCTCTGAGCATACACCGATCATCGCAGGCTGTGCTTTGGATGTAGTTGTCAACCAAGATGGCGAACAAACTGTGTCCGACGGTACCCCCCAGCTCGGATTGTTGGCTGGTTCGATCCATAAACTGCCCCTAATTAAGAAGGGAGAACCATTCTCGAAGGAAAGTGATCCCAGATTGTTTTTCAATGTCTCACACCCTTCGAGTGTGTTTATCTGCGGATCACAGGGCTCGGGCAAGAGTCATACACTCTCTTGCTTATTGGAAAATTGTCTTATCCAGTCAAAGGCTGGAAAACTGCCAAGGCCACTGACGGGGTTGGTCTTTCACTATGACACATTCTTTAGCGACGTGACCGGCTCCCCATGTGAGGCTGCTTTCTTGTCGTCGCACCCAGACGTGAAAGTCCGCGTCCTATGCTCCCCAACGAATGTTTGGTCTATTACCGTTAGTAGTCTACTCCATTTTGTCATGGTTTGGCCGTATCAAACAACTAACAACATTTATAGCAAGCATACTCACGACTGGACGTCTCTGTGGAATCGTTGTATATTGATCAGAACGATCTTAATACGGAGCGCATGATGGATCTTATGGCGGTTTCCCAGGGTGACGGAGAATTGCCATTATACATGCATACCGCCAAGCGAATCCTCCGTGAGATTAGGACCTCTCAACAAGAGACACAATCCGGTTTTGATTACAAAACCTTCAAGAACAGAATCCCCTATTCCGGTCTGACTTCTGGCCAGCTCGAGCCGCTCAAACAACGTTTGGACATGCTTGAGAGTTTTATGCCCCAGTCATAGGTTGCCAAAGCCTCCCACAGACGAGCGCAGACCCTCCCGTAGCAAGGCTCGCTCTGGGAGCCTAAGGTGAGCATGATGCACTCATTGTGGGATGATGATAGTTAACAATACATCCAGGCCGGCCAGTTGACAATTCTCGATCTCTCATGTCCGTGCACATCTCCTGGAACGGCTTGTTCTCTTTTCAACATCTCGCTCGCCATCTTCATGGAGCAAGAGAGCGACATCGGGCGGGTCGTTGCACTTGATGAAGCACACAAGGTTAGCCCTCTATTTATTTTCTCGCTAAGAACTAGTTTTGTCTGCCAATATAGTACATGAAGACCTCTTCTGAAGCACAAGCGTTTACTGAAACGCTTCTCTCTGTCGTCCGCCTCCAGCGCCACCTTGCGGCTAGGATAATCATCTCGACCCAGGAACCCACGGTATCAACGGACCTGCTTAACCTGTGCACCGTGACTATTGTTCACCGGTTCAACTCCCCGGAGTGGTTGAGAATCCTGCAGAAGCATCTGGCGGGTGCGGCTACTAACCCTTTCGCTCGGAAGAAGGGTAAGGCTGGAGGTAGAGGCATTGACGGCGAAGAAGAGCAGCTGAGAGAAGCATACGAGCACTCCATTTTTGACAAAATTGTTAATCTTCGTGTCGGTGAGGCGCTTTTGTTTTCTCCGAGCTCCATTGTGGACGTTAGCATTGACGAAGATGGCGGCTACGAACTCCGTAAGCTGGGGTCGGAGCACCTCGCCATTAAGGTCCGGCAGAGAATTACCAAGGATGGAGGTAAAAGTGTGCTGGCGGTTTGATCTTTTGGCTTGTGGTTATCAATGTAGTGGGTTTGTAGTGGATAACGTTGTTGTTTCTTTGGTCATGATGGAATAGCTGGGAGATTGAATGCGTCTGTTTTGGAGGGCGCGGCAAAGAAATATGTTCTGGAGACATGACTGCTAGTTCTAATTAGAATATAACGGAATGCTCCAAGAACTCATGCGACTGTCGAACTGTCATTATAGTCTCCAAGCCATCAATTAGTTAGTAAGACATAGCTTCTCCCTGTAGCAGTACTATCTTTACCCTCGCACCGCTAGCAGCATGCAACAAATTCCCCGATAGTCTCGTTGGTTCATGGCATTTAGCTGTGATAGTAACAATTGTAACCAAAAATCACCATTTATAGGTAGTTCAATGACTACATATCAAAGCTCTTTGGATCGCATAAATTCACAGAAATAAAGAGTATTATTCACAATCAAGCAGAAACCAGTCCCCCTTTGCGCCGTCTATCCCGATCATAAACAAAGAGTCATTACAGTCGCATAAAAGTACAATGGTATATACAGTCATAAGTGATCCAGATATCTCCATCACTCTCATTATCATGTCATAAAAGGAAGGAGTTAAACATCATTGACAACTTTATCTTCAGTCGTGGCACTCTCCCCGGTATCAGCAGCACTGCCTAGTTGCCGACCGTAGGCCGACTTGGGTCCATACTGGTCATCGTGGCGCTGCGAGAGGAAGAGTATAACCGTACTATTATCAATTAGCATATTTTCCGAAAAGAAGTGAAAGCAAGAAGAGCATACCTAACAGTGGTGAATACCCAACCCGGCCATGCTAGAACAGCGGATGCGATCGCCCGCGGGTTTGTATGATATTCTATTCCTCCACGTTAGCACGAAGCCGCGCTCTACGACATTATGGATACAAGACATACTCAAGGCAGGCTTCTTCATCGACTCCTCCCAAAACTTCCGGGCCGTTGACCCATCCGTTCCTTCGATGCGGGCACTTCCCGTCGCTGTGATGATCTATTTCCCATTGTTAGCCCTACTTCCATCTCAAATCCATCTCCAGCTATCAATCATACCGTCATCGTCAACGCCGAACTCAGCATCATGACCGACACAATCACGGCACATATCTTCCACGCCAACCGGACAGAGCGACTCTCATGACGTTCCGGCCAAAATAAATCGAAGAAGAATGCTCCACCGAATATGAATGCGACGGCGATTCCGACGAAGATGTTGTATGATGCAGCGCCGATGAAGTCGTTGTTGTAGACGTAGATTCCGGGATGTTGGTTTTGGATTTCGTCTTGTTGATCGAGGTAGTCTATTGACATAGTATTTGTTAGCATTTCCGAATCTTTAACTGGTAGTGGGCAGAAGGAATGAAGCTAACCAGACAACGCCGCCGTCCCAACCGATTCGGAACAAACACAGAAAATCATAGCGAGCTGATAGACAATCATCTTGGTGCGACGGAGATGATATATGCGGGTGAACATGTAGGAGCTCTTGAATTTGCTCCATTGCATTTCATGGAGATCTAACCCCCAGATGACGGCCATTATTGATGAGTTTTGAGAAATAAAGGGGGATAGGATTGATGAAAATAGAGAAGCAATATTCTGTTCATAATTTTCTTATAAGAGATATCCTGCTGTCTAGACAAAGAATGAAAGGCAGGGACCACGTCAGGGCTGCATTGATAATCTTGTTTTGTCAGGGTCGGCGGAAGGGCGATCCGTGACGTCAGGCGGGTCCAGCCCGGTTCCACTGCTTTTTTAACACTGTCATTATTGTTTCTGCATTCTGCAACTTTCATTGCAGCTACTAGCTAGACACCGCGCTGGCATCCATCATTGGTTTACACGTGCTGGTGGCGTTCCATGGCGCTTCGCTTATGCTGATGTCGTCGTTGTTTGGTAGGGCTTCTGGATGGGGCCCTCCCTGGGGGGTGGTACTTAGTCTTCTTCATGGGGGCGGATGCAGGGCCGCACTAGAAAAAAAGCCCTTGGAGTAAATCAAGTCTTATGAGGATGATTATAAAAATTGTATAAAAGTATAGACAAGCTATAGAAGCAATATTAAGCCTGTTCCCAACCGTACTGCACCAGTGGATCTGGCATCTTGGCCACCAGGAACAATGTTGCCAATTCCGGCGATTGATTATATCATCATCCTCGGCTTTGTCTGAACCAGTGAAATTCATCGTTCCGATAATGTCGGACAGAGATGATGAATGGGATCGACCGGCCTCGTAATTATCTCGGCAATGATGTCAACGCGTTAAACATCACCGAGATGTGACGGACCTTTGCGGTCTCGGCCTTCCGCGTCAAATCAAATCAAATCCGAGATCGGAAATACGGAGACTATTATTCACATCAACGCCGCGATGTGTTCTCTGATTCTGTATCTAAACATATCAACTCCGGCTACATGACCGACAGCACGAGACAAAACGTCCTCGTCACCTCCAGCACCAAATCCACATGCTCCCGCTGATGCACCAGATTGACTGCAAACGACCCCCGATGCGCCATATACACGCCCCCTTCCAACTGATGGAAGTAATACAGATCCCGAATCATGTCCCCCTTCTCCCCCAAAAACTTCACTCCCACCGTACTCCCTATTCCACTAACGACCACATCAAGCCAAGCACACCACCTTCGCTGAAAAATGCGACATAATCCTTCCCTCAAATAATCCCCCAGATCATTCGCCCTCTCCAGCGCCTCCCGACTCATCAGGTTGGCCGCTACAACACCAGCCGTCATTGAAAACACATTGTTATTCCACGTCCCAGTGTGGAATAACGACTGCTCTTCTCCCGGCTTGAACAACCGCATAATCTCCTTCTTCCCGCCAAACGCACCGAACGAGAATCCGCCGCCGAAGTGTTTCCCTAGAGTCGTCATATCCGGTACAATACCGTACCGTTCCTGAAGTCCGCCATAGCAGAGTCGTGATGTGACGACTTCGTCGAAGATGAGTACTGCCTGCAGCCGGGTCGCTTCGTCCCGTAAGAATTGCAGAAAGGGAATGTCAGCGGGGATCATCCCCCCTGCCGCCTGCATAGGTTCCACGAGGATGGCAGCAATGTCGGAGGTGAGTTTGGCTCGGGTATCCGGGATGTCGTTGTAATTCGCGATAATAAATTCGTGGGGAAGGTTGAGGGCGGTATTATCCCCGAAGGTGAGCGTGCCTCCGTGATAGCCGTTTTTGAAGACGAGGATCTAGGGATGTCTTAGCTTTGAGCCAGTTGACTAGGTATAAACAATCAAGAAGTACCTTTTTTCTCCCCGTAAATGCGACAGCAACCCCCAAAGCAAACATATTCGCCTCCGTCCCCGAATTGCAGAACCGGATTGCGTCTATACTTGGGAACCGCGAGATAAGAAGTTGCGCCAGTTCACCCTCTTTGCTGGTAACACCGCCCAGCGTGAACCCTTGCTGCATGACAGTTTGTATGGCCTCAATGATGGCTGGATGCGAGTGCCCGAACATGCCTGCTGTGTATTCGGAGACAAAGTCTATGTATTCGTCTCCGTCTAGTGAGGTGAGATAGCAGCCATGTCCGCCGCGGAAGACGAGTGGGTGCGGGATGTGAACGAGCACACCGCGTGAGGTGCCACTGGGGATACTGTTTTCAGCTGATTGAACGGCTGCGCCTGACTCTAAGTTCTTAGCGCGGAAGGATTCAATGTAACAGCTCAGGCAGTTGTTTAGAATTGTGGCTGGGGCTTTGTCTGACTGGTAGGCCATAGTGGTGATCTTCGATTCTGAACCTTAGAAACAGGTAGTTGTAAGTTGGTTGGAGTATAGGAATTATTAAGGAGGATAGGATTTGACATCAGATGAGGTTAGAGAGGTTTGGGGGTGTTATGTTGCACAATGTGCCGTGCGGGGTTGAGACAATCGAGATAAGCATCGGCCGATCAGTGCTGGTTTTGATGCTGATTGGATTTGACGTTGGTGTAGAAGCAAAAAATAAATATGTCTCACAGTTACTGAATGCAAGTAGGACTGACAATCAGAAGGCTCACTGATTTGAACCGCTCCTCATAGCGAGCTCTTACCCAAATAGGAAGTCCGTACAGCTTCACATAAAGGCACAAAAGATCACGTGAGGACAATCCACAATCCACGTGATGCATATAAGTTTATGTTGCACAAATCCGTGTTGCACCACCATATCGTATCCTATTGTTTTCAATAGCTGCTGGTGGTATCACTTTTTTTTTGGCACTTGGTAGAACGAATTATATGTTGGAGTTGGAACTTGAACGGCCATTGACGTCCTTGACCAGTGGGTATCATTCCTAGTGAGGGACTTGATGACGCCTGACACAAAAGAGCTAGTCTGGTGCAAATGCTGCTCTCATCATATCGGGCTATTTCAGCTCCTTAATGAAGTTACAAAAAGAATAGCCTTGACGAACCACGTATAAGCCTATGTTGAAGAGCCGATTCACTGTCTCGCTGCATTAGATAGTCGAAATAATCTCGATGCACGAAGCACTACAACATACTACTTCCGCGTAGCCTAATACAGTGCCACATACATACCTCACGCAGTACCAACATTCTCCACCCTCTCCGTCCCACCCTTCCCATTCTCCGTCTGCAATTCCACCTCCACCCCATCATTCCCGTCCACCACCTTCTTCTCCCCCGAAACATTCACATCCGTCGTCCGATGTCCATCCAACAGCTTCCGACTCACCGTATTCGCATAGATGGGGAAAATCCACGCGAGGACATAGAACGCCGTCGGGATCGCCATGGCCTTGTGAAAGTTCCCCGTATGCGTGGCCACAGCTCCAGTCATGGGCGGGATGGCAGCACCACCCGAGATAGCGGCTACTAGCATACTGCCGCCGCGCTTGGTGTGTTGGCCTAGACCGCGTAAGGCGAGGGTGAAGATTGTGGCGAAGCAGGCCTGTATTGATTTATTTTAGTATGAGGTGGGAGGGGAGGTGATTGTGGGGTGACATACACTTTCGAAAGAC